TATGCTAGACCTTGATGGCAGAGGGGAAAGAGTCTTTCGGGAAGTATCCAAGGCAGGTCCTAGTTATTGATTCATCATTTCCTTACCATTTATCACACGGTCTTTTCAACATGATAAAGATTAGTGATTAAAAAACAGTTGATACTTTTACCTTAAATCACAAACTTAGAGCTGGAAAGAATCACTGAGGTCCTGTGGTCCAACCCCTCCATTTTAGAGGTGAGCAAACTGGAGCTTACAAAGCTCAGCTCACTGGTCCAAGGTCACATAGGTAGTAGAATTCGAAATGACACAGCTTCATTTTACCTGCAGTTCTCAGAAATGTATTCATTGATCCATCTCTCACAAAATTTAGACCTCGGGCCAGTCTGTAGTGGTCAGTGTGGGCTCCTTAGCCTGGCATTCAAGGCCCTGTGCTCTCAGATACCTTTGCAGCCTTTTCCCATAGCACTCCTCCAGCCAAACTAGATTGTTTGCCTCCTGACCCCAAAGCTGTTCTTTCTTCTTCTTTGGGGGCAAGAGATGGTGTATCAGCATATGAAGGGGATTGTAGGTCCAAAGTCAGAACATATAGAAGAAAATTCTGGCTTTATCGCTTTTTAGATGTGTAACTTTCCCTCTCTGTGACTCAGTTTCCTCATCTGTAAAATGACAGATTCCTTTGGGTCCTTTCCACCTTTAAATCTGTAAACCTATGCTTGGCCTTAAGCCTGCTTTACTCAATCTGAGCCCCACCTTCCTCAGTGCACAGTGGACGTAAGAACACCTGTCCCGGCCATCTCTCATGTTTGCTGCGCAGAGCAGATGTACGTATATTCCCTTCACAGACCTTGAAGTGTGATAGAAATGATCAGGGAGCATTAATCTTATGCTGCCTCTCCGATCACCCAAAGAAGATGAATTCTTGGAAAACAAGAGGCTCTTCTCCACTGGTGTCAGGGCTAGGGGTGATTGATCTGTCATGGGGTTCCAAAAGCATCGAATGCCATTTCTTGGAACTGATTGTGAGGGCAACTGGAAGTTGAAAGAGATCAGGTCAGGAACCAGCTCCAGAAATCTAGGAGGTAAAACCAGGCTGGCTGGTGCCATTGTTGTCTGGATCTTAGGCTGTGGGACCTGGTTGCCCTCAACCTTACTGTGAGACAAGGGTCTTGGGGGCCAGAGTCCCCGGCCAAATAGAATACTTTTAGGGGCAGCTAGGTGGTGCAGTGGATAGAGCACTGGCCCTGGAGTCAAGAGGACCCGAGTTCAAATCTGGCCTCAGACACATAATACTCACTAGCTGTGTGACCCTGGGCAAGTCACTTAATCCCATTGCCTAGCCAAAAAAAAACAAACCACAAAACAAATATAATACTTTTAACAACCTCTTTTGTTTTAATAGTCAGCCATGAAGAGCCCATGCTTCCTAGGTGTCATCGCTAACCAGCCCAGCATTTGTGTGAGGCAGGCAGCCAGCATCTCCGCTTCTAATACCCCTAGGATGTCTCTGCTGAGAGCTAGGTGCATCTCAGAATCTATTTCACAAAGTCATTTTACGGATGAGGAAACTGAGGCCCAGGAAGATTATCCAATCCAACCCCCTCCCTTTACAGTCAAGAAAAGATGCTGGGGAGCGCCATAGTGCGTAGAGCTTTGGGCCTTGAGTCAGGAAGACCTGAGTTCAAATCTAGCTCAGACATTTATCAGCTGTGTAACCTTGGGCAAGTTACTTAATCTCTGTCTGCCTCAGCTTCCTCAGCTGTAAAATGAGTGCTAGTAATGGGTGTTGTAAGGATAAAATGAGATATCTATTAAGCACTTTAGTATAGTGTCTGGTACATAGTAGGTACTTAAATCCTTCTTCCCTTCCCCCTTCCCCTTTTATGTTCTTTATGTATATTGTTTCTCTTTACCAGCTCAGAGGGTAGTATGCTGAGGGTCACCAATGGCTTGCAGGCTTTCTGTAGGACAGACTCTGTATGACATGGAGGGAATGAGGGAGGAGATCCCCTCAATGGATTCTGCCCAAGGCAGGACCCTGGAGCAGTGGAGCTTCAGGGCTGCCTGTACTGGATGAAGCCCACTGCTGTCTGGGGTTTCTGGGACAGCTGTCATGCTTTCAGTGTTCATGTTCATTGATATGACATCTGTATTGATTTGCAGTGGCTCTCTCTCTCTCTCTCTCTCTCTCTCTCTCTCTCCCTCTCTCCCCCTTCCTCCCCTTCTCTCTCTTCCCTCCCTCCTTCTTTCTCTCTCCTCCCTTCTCTCTCTCTCTCCCTTCTCTCTCTTTCCCCCTCCTTCTTTCTCTCTCCTCCCCCCCCTTCTCTCTGTCTTTCTCTCTGTCTCTGTCTTTCTCTGTCTCTCTCTGTGTCTCTCTGACTTCCTGCTGCTAGGCACTGACAGATGATGCTTGCTGTACAGCAGCTGCACCAGGGGTATAGGGTTTGAGGGTGAAGCAGTAGCTGGTCCAGGCCAGCAGGAGGGAGTTTCCAGCTGTATGCCTCTGCCTGTGGCATTGGACCTCTGTCTGCCCCCTTCTCTCAGTATCTCACAGGCTCCTGGAGTCCTTGGAGGGACACAGTGAAAGCAGTTCTTGCTGACACTCACCGATTTCCATCTGTTTGGAGAATCAATTTCTCTAGCTCGATATGTGGACTCTTGTGCCATTCTCCATCCACTCCAATGGAAGAGAACAAATGGACTTGATTATTGGCAGGATTTGTTTTTGACAACCAAAAGAAAAAATGTTCTTCTTATTGACCTTTAAAGGATGGAAGTGTGGTTTTCCTACCATTGACTCGGGTGACTGGCCTGGTATTAAGGTCCAATCTGTGAGGTTGGGGAAGGGGAAGAGGGCAGGCGAGAAGGAGAATTCCAGTCACCTCCCACCTTCTCCCCTGCCATGCACTCTGCAGTCTGGTGACACGGCTTCCTTGCTGTACGCAAACACAACACCCCATGTCTTGACTCCAGGCATTTTCCCTGGCTGTCCCCAAGCTCTCTCCCCTCTTCTCTGCCTACCGGCTTTGTTCGAGCCTCAGCTAAACCTCCCCCTTCTAAGCAGCCTTCCCCAGCCCTCCTTATTGTTAGTGACTGCCCTCTGAAATGGATTGTTTATTTATGTACTCGATTTTTTGTGTATTTATGTATTCCTCTATCTATCCGGCATATATCTAATTTGTAAATAGCTGTTTGCATATTGTCTCCCCGACTAGGCTGTGAGCTCCTCGAAAGCAGACATTTACCTTTGCCCCTCTTTTTTTGTATTCCCAGTACTTAGTACAGTGCCTCGCACATAGTAGGTGCTTGATAGATGTTTGTTGACTTGACTTGGACCACAGGATTATAGATTTATGGCTGGAAGGGAGCTCAGAGGCCATCCTTTCATTTTATAGATGAGGAAACTAAGGGACAGAGAAGTTAAGTGACTTGCCCAGGATCGCCCAATTAGTAAATGTCTCAGGTAGGATTTCCACTCTGGACCTGTTTATTATGCTGTGCTGCCTCCAAGACCATTAGGGCTTTGCCTTTAGGGTTTTGTTCAGGGTCTATTGTCTAAGTCTTGTCTCCTCCACTAGACTGTGGTTCATAGAGAGCAAGGACACAGGACCTCCACTTCTCCACATTGTCCATTGCGCCCTAGAGCAACGCACTGAATCTTAGCATTCTAAAAACATTTGCTGAGTGAATGGATGGATCGTTAGGGCTGAAAATCCCCACCTCCCTAGAGGGTCTAAGAGGATTGGCATGAAACTCTCTGAGGGCAGAAACACCATCTTATTACCAGCATAATAAGGCAGTGAATGGTATGAGAGAGAACTCTGGGTTTGAAGCCATAGCATGACAGTGGAAAGAGGGACAGATTTGGTGCTGGAGGATCTGAATTCAAATTCTGACTTTTCCCCTTCTTTCATTCGTCAGTCGTCAAGTCAATTGGGCAAGCCACTCAATTTCAATTTTCTGAGTAACTGTTGTTATTGGTCAGTCATTTCAGTCCTGTCTGACTTTGTGCCCCCCCCCCCCCGTTGGCCATATTCACATAAGGCAGGGGACAGGCTTGTGGGTTCTGTCAAGGTCTCTAGCTGGGAAACAAATGTATTGATGCTACTGAGGCTGATTACTTGGAGTGGTTTGCCATTTCCTTCTCCAGCTCATTTTACAGATGAGAGAAACTGAGGCAAACAGAATCAAATGATTTGTCCAGGGTCGCACAGCTAGTAAGCGTCTGTGACCAGATTTGAACTCAGGTCTTTCTGACACCAGGCCTGTTCTATCCACTGCGCCGCCTATCTGCCAGTCATTCTTAATAATAGCTAGAATTTATATAGCACCTACTACACACCAGGCACTATACTAAGTGCTTTGCAAATATTATTTAATCCTCATTACAACCCTGAGAAGTAGGTGCTGTTATTATTCTGATTTTACAGATGAGGAAACTGAGGCAAACAGAGGTGAAGTGACTTGCCCAAGGTTACACAGCTAGGAAGTGTCCAAGGCTGAATTTGAACTCAGGTCTTCCTGATTCCAGGTCCAGAGCTCCGTGCACTATGGTGCCCCCTAGCTGTCTTTTCTTGGCTGTAAAATGAGAGGATCTCTTCTAGCCCTAAATCTGTGTTCTTACCTGTGATCAGGGGTCTTTCTGGCCTCAGTTTCTGCACGTATAAAATGAGGTGGTTGGAGCAGACAATTTCTAAAACCCTCTGCTAGCTTTAAAGTTCTGTTCTATGAAACCCAGCTGTTTTTATTATCTGTGTGACTGGATATAATGAATAACCTCTCTGGGTCTCAGTTTCTTTATCTGTACAATGGGAGTATAGAACTGAACTAGATGGCTCTAAGTTCCCTCCACCTTTATGTTCAGGAGGCAGCACCTCCAAACCTGCTTGTCTAGGCTGCAGCTGCCCTATAACAATCATTGGTGCCTAACAGCAAGATGTCATTGAAGGAAAGCCAACTCAAATGTTTTCGTATTAAATATTTTTGTTTGCTTGAAAAAACCTCTCCTCCCCTTCCAGGTCCATATTCAAGCCCTTCATTTTTGTGGACGATGTAAAGCTTGTCCCTAAAGTCCAGTCTCCCTGCTTCGGGGAGGATGACCCCGCCAAAAAGGAGCCCCGTTTTCTGGAGAAGCCTGACCGCCGACACGAGCTCTATAAAGCCCACGAGTGGGCTCGGGCTGTCATTGAGAGTGATGAGGTGAGGTGCGGCGTGGGAGGGGAGAGGGCGGGAAACATGGGCCCTTCCCCCTTGTCTAGGGGCAGGGGTGGGCACGGGAAGCACGTGTAGGAAGGTGACCCTGATCTCTGAGGTTTGCTCCTGGTCATCCACATTCCCGGAGAACCTTCTCAGACTTGCCACTTTACTTTTCAGCAGATTCTTGGTTGCTGTTACATTTTTCCATCAAAGTCTTTTGCAACAAACCAGAAACAAAGTCTCCCACTAAAATGTTGTCCTGAGATTCCATTTGACTTATGAATAGCCTTCTTCCCTTTGTGGCTTCATTTTGTCAAAAACTGCCTCTTCAATGAGGATGGAATTCTTTTTAGAAATCTCATCTCTTGCTTTTCACCAAAGACAAGTTATTTATAAGCATTAAGGTGAAAATACACACTTGCCACGAATAGTCTAATAATAAGAATTACAATGTTGTGCTATTTGAATAAATCCAAATACACACACCTGTTCCCCACCACCACCATCTTAGTTCTTCACACAGAGTTCCAAAGCATCAATTCAGACTTGAACATTCCCTAGTAAGCCTACCCCCAGAGACGCCCACAGCATGGCTAGCCATCCCTGCCTGTTGTTATTAACAGAATGGATGGGATTGGAGGCTGGGAGGCCAGCCTTCTTCCTCCAAAAATAACAGACTTGGAGGGAACCAACCTAGCTGTTGTTAACTAGTATCAATAAGACATGCCAACCAGTTTTCCCCAGGATATGGGACATTATTAAGGTTGCTCATGCCCCTTGAGGTTTAGGAAATATGCAATTTACTTCTTTTGTTAAGAGCTGGGCAGGTTTTCTATCACAGAGATCTAGTGTAAAATGGGGTATGTGTATCCTACCATGGTGGAAAAAGCATGGGATTTGTAGTCAGAACTTGCGTCTAGGCCCTTCCACGTACTCCGAGTACGACTTTCAGCAAACCACTTTTCGCCTCTGGAGATCATCTCTGGGCCCTGGTCTCCTCATAGACGAGAAGAGGTCGCACTAGGTGACATCCACGGTCCCTTTGAGCTTTAAGTCCATGATCCTTTCTTTGGTGTATTTGTACCAATAGGAAGAGAAAGATGATTTGAATATTATCTCATTTATGCAGTGGCTATGTGACTCAGGACAACTCAGCCAACTTTTCTGGGCCTCAGTTTCTTCATCTGTAAAATAAGATGCCTGGGCTTGGCAGCCTTTGAGATTCCTTCCAGTCCTAGGTCTAGGCCTTGCTACTCCATGTCCCTGTCTCAGTTTCCTCACTTGTCAAATGAAGGCCTCTAAGGTCCCTTCCAGCTGTGGAGCGAGAATCCTTTGAACCCTGTCTATTCATGATGAGATGATGCCTGAGGTCCCCTTCCCTTTTCATTCCACAATTCTACCATATTCAAAGCGGCAAGGCAGCCGATCAACTGCACAGAGAGGTTTTCCATGTGGTTGGTTATGACGCACCATAACCCTGTGTCTCTTTCCTCAGGATCAAGGTCACAAGCTCATGGAGACCATGTTGGACCTGGAGAAACAAGGGCTGGAGGCCATGGAAAGCATTCTGAGCAGCACTGACCCTATGGACCCCACTGAAGTGGCCGACCTTTTCTATGATTGTGTTGACACGGAGATTAAGTTCTTTAAGTGAAGTAAGCCCACCCTTTCTCTCCTCTCACTTAGAAACTCCCTACTTGGCCAAACTCCAAGCAAAACCAATCCCCTCTCCTCTTTGAGTAAAATAGAAGATGAATATTTCAGCCCCCTTTTCTAAACAACCAGTCTAATTTTAACTCACACTCTGTGCTTTTGGTCTTGGAAAGAAACTCCCTCGGCCCTCCTAAGATTTAGCCAGTATTCGTTTTTTTCACTAGCCTGATCTTTGGCTTTATATGACTAATGGTGGATATTAAGTGGCTGTTATCTTATTTCAGTGATGATGGGCACGCTTAGCCTTTTCCCAAGAAGATTAGCGCTTGTCAAGCCCTGAAGGATAGTCTTTACATTGCCGAATTTTCAGGAAGGCAAAACGAAAGCAAAACCTTTAAAGAGTCTTTCTCTCTTCTTAGTAGCTGTTTCAAGTTTAACAAACTGGCTTTTCTTTGCCTGGTCACATGCTGTTTTGTGTAGAGTCCAAGGAGAACGTCAGCAGTGTGGCCACGATTTTCCAGCGGGTGTGCTGGCTGACACCCCATGGAATGCTTTTCTGGGCCACTAGAACAGATGGATGAGAGGAGGACCTTCCTGGCCCATGTTCCGATGACTGGAGCTACAGGCATGTTTTTCTTCTAGTCAGTGTGCTTGCAGTGTGTCTCCAGGAAGGCTCTTAAGGAGCGAGAGGCACACACACGATTGTCTCAGAGGGAACTGGACACATTTGAGAGGCGCTGAGTCAGTGCATGGATTGATGCTGAAACAGCCCCTCCAGCACAGAGCTCGGCAGGCCAGCTGCTTCTCCACCTGGATGGTGTCATGTATATAGATGATTCAGAACCAAGCTGCTGCTGGCTAGCTTGAGGTTACTGTAATTAAATGGCCCCATGGAAGGATTCCAAACGTACAGAAGCTGGGAATCCGCCAACATGCAAGGCAGAGGGGGAAAACCAGCAGCCAGTGACCATGCAGGCATCAGCTGATGTTCTTACATGCCCAGATTCCCTCACTTCTCTGGGAAACTTGGAGGCACTCTCCCTGTGTATGCATTATCTCAGCAGCCAGTTAGGGTAGTTAAGTTGATTCGTTCTGCACGTGTAGAATTAAGTGAAAGAAAGCAATTTGTCAACAGCGCCTGGAAACCAGCTTAAGGGGTGCCCAGATTGGGTCAGTGCTATGAAGACCGAGTACAAGGAGGGCTAGAGAGGTCCAGCATTGCTCTGCAGGGCAGCTATTGGACCCTGTCTCCTGAATAGCTGGTGTTTATTTACAAGTCACTTTAAGGCTTCCCAAGTGGGTTACCTGCAGCGTAGTCTATTTCCTGCTGCTAGCTGTACATTGTTGACTTCTCCTCTGTCTGACTCTTTTTCCTCACTGTTTCCCCACTTCTCAGCTGCCGTCTCCCAAAAAGCTTACATGGGGAAAGCTCTTAGACCAAGGCGTCCCCTCTCCCCTTCCTTGCTTGACTGGGAAGGGACTGACACGTGTTTTCTAAAGCCCTCATTTATTATTAAAATGGTCCCCCCAAAAAGGTCATAATTTTAAGTGGGTGATGAGATGATCATCAGCTGAAACGGATAAATATAACAACGAATGAAGGGAACAGGAGTAAGTTAGGGCACCTGGTCTGGGGCCATTGGGATGGGATTACTTTGCACCACTTGTGTTGGTAGGACCCTACAGTTGGGACAGCTTTGAAGGTTACCTACCCTTCACAATGTTGTAGCTCCAGCCTTCTTCCTTCTGTACATATGCTCCTTGCTTTAAACCTGTTAGCCAAAGTCCTGTGGTGGTTGAAAAGCATGGCTATTTTATCAAATTCTGTATCTTATGATGTTAACTCCAAGTGAATGGATGCCTGAGAGCTGTCCAGGTGAAAGAAAGCACAGACTGCGGGGTGTGCTTCTTTCAGAGTGAGGGAAGGCAGGGCCACAAAAACACAACAATAAATTTGCCTCCGTTTTCACACTGCGGGCTACCAACTGTACAATTTTCTCTCTGGAGAGCAGGATAAGACCCTTGACTACTTCTGTTTAGTTTCCATGGCCACAACAGCTTTCATGGGCTTCCCATATACTGGTGGAAGTAGAGGGTAGGAATGGTGGAGATAGTTTGGTGATGTACCACATCTCAGTGGTCATTCTTGAGTTGAGCTGTAGACTATGGGTTCTTAGACCCCACAGACTCCTTTGGCAGTCTGGGGAAGCCTGTGAACCCCTTTGCAGAATCATATTTTTAAATGTGTAAAATTAAATATATAGAATCACAAAGGAAGACAGTTACATTGAAAGGCAATTATAAAATTTTTTTAAAAAACATTCATGGACCCCTTGAGATTTATCCATGGACCCCAGGTGAAGGACCCCTGTAATGGAAGGAGTGATGATATAATATGGGGTATCTTAAATAAACTAAGAAAACCTGGAGAGAAATTCTACAAATTCATGATGGGTACGGGGGGCCAGTAGACCTTTCGCTATTGAGAACTCAGAGATCTGCTCCGTATCAACCAAGCTGATTTGAATGTTGAGAAAATAAATTTGGTTCTCCTGATTCCTACTGTGGCTTAAGTCCTTACTGGTATAATCCTAAAGCTGAACCTTGTTGCTCTAGCTTGATGCCTGGACCCCACAGACAAGACTGCTGAGACTATACACTGACCTTGCTTGGGCAGATCAAAAGAATGGCGGAGCAGGCTCTGGCAGGTTATTTGGACCAACCCTTTCTATGCTGTTCCTAGCCCAGCATCACTATGCTGATTCAATGACTCAGAGCAAGTTTGGTTTCTTGGATAAGGCTGGTTACGAGGAAATGTGGACCTCGTATTGCATGCACGCTGGGGACAGCCCCTGACTAATTTCCATTTCCCCAGGAGTGATGGGAAGGTGGCCACTGAAAAGCAATTATATTTGGGTAGGCTAAGTCATTGATGTTTCTGCTACTCCCTCTGAATGGTTTTGCATATTTAGTTAACTACTTATACAATTCTGTGCCTGATCTGATTGGGCCTTTGCCTTCTGTGGCTGAAGAAATACAAAACCAAACCAAAACAACCCAACTTCAAACTAACAAAAACTTAATGGGGGCTTTAGGTCTCTTGGAAAATGCTTGAGGAGGCTCATAAACTCCAGTCTGTTCACTGAGAGAGAAGTGATATCGTAGGCATGACATTTTTTAAAAATAAAGTCCAAAGTTTGGAATGTTGACAAATTTACCATATTTATGATGTGGGAGCCATCTTTGGATTCAGAAGACATAACCAATAAGGGCAGAGAGGCTGGCCACAATCATCATCCAGCCCAAGACAACATTAATTCGATTGTTGTCTAGTTAGAACCTGGCTGCTTACCAGCCACAGACGAGGACAAGCCAACCATTTTGAGAGGAAAGAGCCCGGCTTTTATAAAATGAAAGGTTTCGAGTGGTAAAGGTTATAATGTGAAACCTACGAATTATTCAAATGATCTGTATGAGGTCATCACCGTGAAGAAGCCCCTGCATCAGAACATGCAGACATTTACTCCACTTAGATCCCAATAACACAGTTCTTGGCTGTTGAGCGAAGACACGAAATTATCAGAACGTACATATGCCAAGAGAGACATCATGGCCTAGTGAGTAGAGTCAGCCTTGGGGTCGGGAAGATCTGGGTTCAAGTCTTGCCTCTCTGGTACACAGTTGTTACACAGACCCACTTCTCTCAGCCATGGAGGCCAGGCAACTCCATTAATTGGATTATTCTTAGCCAATGCTGATCATTTCATGCAACTTCTAAATCCCATTTACAGTTTCTGATTCTGTGTCAATGTGTGCTTTCTCTGACTGAACCCAAACACTATGTGAACCTTCATTTGCTAATTCCTTGTGGAAACTCACCTGCACCTGTTTGCAATCATCTCGTGATAAACTGAAGTGTCTTTAATGGAAAAATACTCTTTGTTGAGAACAATGAAAGAGGAAACATTCTTTTTCCTGTTGTGGGAGCAGACAATGTAGTTATGATGATGATTTTTTTTTAACCAATGCCTTTGAACAGGAAGATATTCTTCTCCAGCTCTTTCCTCTATGACCTTGTCTATAAATGCATTATGCATAAAATTAAAACTACTGAATCACCCTAAACTGCCTCCTTTGTGATGTCTCAGCTGTCCCATAAATAAATGCAGGGAGAGGTTGGAGCCAGAGAGTTGATTGGAATGGGCCCTACCCCTGCCTCCGTTATGTCTCGCCTGAGGAATGAGCTCACCTAGCCAAGGAGGTCCAGAAAAACACGTTGCCCCTTCCAGCTGAATATGATTATGCCCTAAGTAGGTCAGGGTGAGTCATGATTCATACCTTCCTATGACAGGAAGAGAGTATAATGACATTCTCACCCACCTCTGTCCTTTCTCCCACAACCTTCCACAAGGTCAGACTGTAGGTCTGGGCTGTTTTTGTTAGAGGGCACTGTGCTTTGGCCATAAACAGTGGCAATGAAAATGTCATTCTTGTGTTTCTAGTGTAGTGATCATTAAACCTATCTCTGCAAGCTGTGGAGGGATCATGGGCTGAAAGGGAGGAAAGAAACAAGCATTTATTAAGCACCTCCACCAGGCACTGTATTAAGTGCTTTACAAATATCATCTCATTTGTTCAGAGGGCAGCTAGTCCAGGCTCCACATTTTACAGATGAAGAAACTGAGGCCTAGGTCTGGGGTCCCACAGCTAGTAAGCAGCTGAATTGGGGTTCAAACCTAGGTCCTCTTGACTGCAAATCGAGGGCTGTTTCCATTGAGCCACAGTATTCCAAACCCGATTTTACAAAGAGCAGAAGACATTGGCCCAGAGACACGGGCAGGATTGGGTCCTTTTATTTTGAATTCAGGACTGGGACCGTTATACTGAATCATGGCTCCTCATCCTAACAACGAGGAAAGAAAATGCTCAAGGTCACTCCAGTAGTAAGTGGTACAGCTTGATCTGGACCCCATATGTCCCACCTCCAAATCCAGAGGTCTTTAAGGTTGCACACCTTGACATCCTCAAAAGTTCCTAGGAGGGAAGATCTAAATAAAACAGGGGCATAGACTGGGGAGGATTCCTCTTGTAGCTGAGCACACCCTGCCTCAGATGCTTTGGGATGGGAGTTGGGGTGGAGCGGGCTGGCTCTGGATTGGTTCCTTCCCAGCCCTGTTCATGAGGGCTCAGTAAGCAGAAGATCTTGGCTATCTTGGCTGTAGGATGGACTTCCAAGAGAGTGCTATGGGAGGGCATCCTGCACACTGTTCTATATTAAGAGGCTCTTTTCATAGAAGTCAACTTTAAAAAGAAAGTCTCTTCCATTCTGTGGCTACCGTGGGAAGTTTATAAGGAAGGGAGATCATTATTGACCATAATAGACATATGGCATAAGGAATAAAGATTGGGGCTGTGGTCAGCAACAAGCCTTTATTAAGCACCTACTGTATGTCAGGCGTTGTGCTAGGGACTAAGGATATAAATACAAAAAGTATAAAATAACCCCTACACTTAAGAAGCTTACTCTATTTGAAATTTTTTTTATTAGCATCCAGAAGCCCTATTTAAGTTTTATTCGGGGAACTAAACCATCCTTGGGAGATAATGGGTACACCTTCACCGGAGATATTCAAGCGAAGCCAGGATGGTCAGGAACATCGTAAGGGGATCTCATTGAGGCCCCATTCCATTCTGAAATTCTGAGATTAAAACAGAAGTACAAAGAACAGGCATGGTTCCAAATAAACTGTATGAGAAGATTCCGCCTTTGAAGAGGTGGGAGGTATGGTGGGGTGGGGAGAAAGGACGTGGCAGGTATTTTGAGACTTTGTCAGTCTACTGATCAGTATTGCTGATTTTTTCCTATTTTTTCTTTAAAAATATCTTTGTTCTATGGGATGGCCATGGAAGAGGGAAGTTGGAGGAATCCTGGTAGAAACTGAGATGTCAAAACAAAAGATCAATAAGAATGTATTTAGAACTTTTTAACCCCAGAAGAACAGGGAAGGTTCGCATGGGACGGGGATGGGGAGGGGCAGACCTCCCAGGGAGGGGGTATGGGCTCTTCATCAAGGAGTTCAAACATTTAAGTTAAAAGTGCTCTTTTTCCAGCTGGCTGTGTACGTGGGGGCATATGCGTGTGTAACAAGAATTATTTTCCAAAAAGATGCTTATCTAGGTCCACGTATCCCAGAAAGTTTCTGGTTCTGCACAAACGCTATTCTGCCCCATCATGAAGCCTGTCTTATCATCAGATTAAAATAGCCCCTTAATCCTCTGCGTCAAATCCTGGCCTTTGCTCTGCACCGGAGATGGTCCTTATCTCCAACCACGGCGCTGGCCCTGGTATTTCCATTCATTGTCAACAATTTTAGCACCAAGAAATTGATTTATAAAGAGAAACCTTAATAAATATGAAACACATATTAAATAGGAAGGGCCTCATGTAGACTGCAGTAGCAATGAAAATCCCTGAGATGGAGGAGGGGGTGCAGAAAACACCCATCAAGCATCCAGACTGAGGTTCTTCTTTGTACCATTTTGTGAAATATTATTCCTAGCAACTGTGCACCGGTGATGAGCACAAGAGGTTGCTAATTCAGTGACTGTGACTGCATCCAGTAGGAGCTTAATAAATGGTTTTTTTTAACCCAGTAATTGCTTTTTGATTTGATCATTTCTTTCCAGTTTCCAGAGATTCCAATCTAAAAATGGATTGCGGCTTTTTCTTTGCTTTTGAAGAATTCTATCTTATCTTAAAGTCATATCTTAAATTAGACAAGCAGAGTCTCCCTATCTTCTTTCATCTATGAACATGCCAAGCACAGCCCCCAGAGCTTCCCTCTCTGGCCACACGTCCTGTTCTGTGATGGAGAAAGAATTGGGGTTATGTATGTTCCCATGACTCTACGGCCTTAAAAGATGTAGGGTTGGGTACAGGGGAGGTAGGAGAGAGAAGTCCACTACACCACTCATTTGGGGAGTACGCTGAACTCACTGGAAAGCACAGAACTTCACTACAGTTTGACTTCTGTTAAAAAGGGGAAGCTGGGCCTCCTGGAGGAAGCTCGTACTTACTAAGGAGGGGACAAATCAGACATGGGAGGGAGGAATTTCCCTGCATGCTTCAGTATGTACTTTTCTGTGAGGGGTGAGCTGATCATGTGGCAGGAAGCTTCACCCAATGGTCAGTCAACAGGCTTTGCCAGGATCCTCGCTATATCTGAGGGCCCCCAACACCGATGAGCAGATTTCTTGTGGTGAATGGATATATGGACTGGAGACATTCAGGACGGGTGAAGGGCAGGGATGAACTGGGAATACCCATTGATGAGATCACAGATCCATTCAAACACTGAACCAAGACAGACATTCTTCACTCTAAGTGAATACTTTGGGGGCAATATCACTGTCTCCACTTTGATCAGAAACAGCTGAGAACATTTCTGCCACCCTGGGAACCAAGCATGAAAGAGATCTCAAAGCTCATGAGGAACCATAAGGAAGAGTGCTCAGAATCATACGCAGTAGGGTGTAAATTCCCTGAGGACAGGCACCCAAGCACAGCACTGGCAAGTACATACTTAAATGTTTGCTGCATTGAGTCACTTGAAGGAAATATGTGACAGGCAGCCTTGCAAGTAGAGGATGGATAACATCAGGTGAGACTGGCTTCTTCTACTATTAATAACAAGATTAGAGAAAAAGCAACACAGTCATTGTATGGAAACAAAATTCCTTCCTTTTTTTTTTTTTATTAAGGGTAGTATTTACATTAGGCAACAAAATTCACATATTGAAAATCTGAGGGAAAGGGGGAGAAAGGGTAGAGAGCCATGACATTCTGGTCATTCCATGCTGACTGGTGACATCCATGTGCTGTAGTGTGGGTACACTGCTTGTTCTCCATTCCGTAAGGCATTTTTTGGTTTCATTACCTAGCTGGTGCAATTAGACTATGAAATCACGTCATTGACGAGTCGCCATGTACTCTTGAACAGGGGGACTAGCTAAAACTTCTCTAAAGATGACTCAAAAAATGGGTGGTTGTTTTTTTTAAAGACGTGGAAGGGCCAGCCCATGGGGCTATTTACAGTCATGGGATGAACACTGAACAGAGAGAGGAGTCTCTCCAATACCACTAATCAGGCTCTTTGTACTAACTGGGACAAATGGGCTGCCACAATCTGGGCACATTTGAAAAACAAATCACTAAAATAAAGACAGCTACAACACTGATTCCAAGCCTGTGCAAACGACCTAACTATAATAAATAAGGGCTTGCTGCTGAGCTCGTCAGATGAGAAACAAAAACTTGAGTTTGGTGTGGTTGCTGATGGCATTCTTGGACAGTTCCTGCATCCTGCTATACAGAGCAGGGCATGATGATGGGACTTTTACTTCATCTGTCTTCTTACCGTAGAGTTTTCAGTGGTAACTGTAAAGATAATACAATTCTGAGGACTGTGGAGAGAAAGGTTACCTGCTAAAGGTAATCTGGTGTGATGGATCTTCTAGGCCCCTTGAAGGCTAGATGCCCCTAGATGCCCTCCTCAGGTTCCTTCAATTTCTAAATATAGAATTCTCCAATTCTTCAAATTCTGCATTGCCACAACTCCAGGTATGGCTCTCAAAGGACCACCTGTTCCCTACCCAAAGAACACAAGATGGCCCCTTATAAAAATCTCTACAAGGAGAAGGCACGATGGTTTTTCTTGTTAACCTTTGTAACAGAGCTGAGTTGGGTTAGATGGTTCCAGCATGAATATGGCATCTGATTTTTTTTCTCATCAGAAATCAAACATGAATTAAAAATGGAATGAAATCTTTGACAAAGCTGACTATGTGTGAGGGGCTCATGCTCCCCCAGAATCCACTAGGGCAAGCTTTGGTTACTGTCAATCTAACTGGTAAGTGACTTGCCTAGGATTCTAAGATAGACCTACTAGAAATGTGGGAGAGAAACTGAAGTCGCTCTGCCCCCTAGCTCAGTGCTTTCACTACTGGACCACTCAAGTTTGGGTGCATCAATGAACACACACATCCCTTAGTGGTCCATTCCTGAGATTTCATGATTCAATGATTCTTGGTGTTTCTCTCCAAGAGGCTACCTGCTTCCTCCCCAA